CCAAAGAAGAGTGTGTGTGTGGGGGTTGTGTGTTGGTTTTGTTTTGTTTTCACTTTGTTTTCCCAGTGAGTTGATAATATTATAGGATGTTGTGGATACTAGAAAGCTACTGAAGTTGGCTGCTACTTTTTCAAAAATACTTGACTTCTGGTGGGAACCAAGTCTTCTATCTTGGCAGAAATTGGCCCGCCACAACACTTTAAAGTAACTGTTTTGTATGTTGCTGTTTTGGTTTAAATTAGTTTTTAAAACAGCAGGTTTATTCTGCTGTAGAGATACATTTTTTTGGTATAGAAACATTTGACTTCTTTATTTCACATCACTGTCAGTCTATTAAGCGATACTTTCTCTTATTTTCTACTGTATGAAAGCAGTATGGTCATAGTTTTTCATGTTTTGCTTCAACAGCCTGTGGAATTGAATAGCTGTGGAATTGATTTCTGTTGGAGGGCTTTTGGGAAGTAAAGGCACTGAAGGCTGACTTCCAGTTTGGCCCTCACATAGCAAGAAGGCATTGTGGAATAGCGAGCCTTTATGCTAGGGCAGGAAAGGTCTTAACGGAAATTCTGTATACATTCCTTGACTCATGCATCTGATCTGAGGCAGGAAATGAAAACTCGTTTCTGTTACGAATGTCATCAAACAGTCAAAGTGGAAGTTCTGGGTAGCTGTTGAAATGGCTATGTTGAAGGCAGCTGATCTCATTGTAGTTTACAGCACGGAGAAGGCATTGCTTTTAGCTTTCCAGAAGTTCTGTCGTCTTCTGAGCTTCATAATGTCTTTTTTGCCTGTGTAGGCATTGCTGAATGTCTCTTCTTTTTTTTTTTTTTTCAATCTTCTGTTTGCGAGAACAAATTGTTACCAAATTGGAGGTTTATGACCTGAATTTGTAACTCCTGCAGGTGCTGTGAAACTCGCCCTATAATCCTTGCTTAAGGCAAATTCAGTTGCTTTCTTCAAAGCACTGGTAAAGGTAGTGTGGTGAGTGGAAAACCAGAATAAAAAAATTCTCCAAATAGTCGATTTTTTTAGTGTATTTCCAGTTTAATGCTGCGGATAGTATTTTCTTATTAACGCTTCTGTCTTTGCAGCCTTGGAGTCTATTTTCCTCTTTCACCATGGAACGTATACATGAACTGCTATTTGATCTGGTAGATCAGATTAAACCCCAAACTAGCAGTAACATTTCTAGAAATAGCTCAGTGGCAAACATTAAAAGCAGGCATTACAGGTTGGACAGAAATTTGTCCTTAGTCTGTTTCTTTTATTTGCATGTGTCTTGTCTTCTCTTTCCTAACCTAAGTTAGAGAGTAATGAAGAATGTTATTTCCTGTGTCTGTTTGGGAGGAGGAGGGGGAAATAATCTAATTTGTTTTCTGCCTTATGTTTTTGTATCTTTTTGTTTTTAAATCAGGTAAATACTATTTCTGTATACCACTTTGTATTTCCATTCCTCGAACACTACCTGTAAAACAAAACTTACTGTTATTTTTATAAAGCCTCTTGCATATAAAGTGATGTACAGAGCCTGCTCCCCATACACAGAGTAGGAGGAGTAGTGTAGTGGCAAGTTTATTAATATTTATTTGAGTAGTTAAACCATATAAACATATACCTGTTCTCTTAAGTGTGTTTGAGGGTGCAAAATAGGATGGGTGATGTCTTTGTTCCTTCTGGTGTGAACACTGCAGTGAGGAACTTAGATGGATGTTTTCATTCCCTGTCAACTTTGTCTCTGGTTTCTGGTACAAAATACCAAGACAAGAGAGAAAAAACAGTCTTGGCATAGCCTAAGGTCTGAGTGTGAGTAGCAGGACTTCCACCTGATTTCACTGCAGTCCTTGAGCACAAATCCATAGGAGGAGCTGTAGAGCAGATAAAATAGCCGTATTGTGAACGGCTTGTGGATCAAAGCTCTGAATGATCTGTCTGCTCTTTACATAGTAGAGTGGGCAAGAGCTTAGACTGGCCTCTGCCATGGAAGGAAGAAGTCCCCTTGGGAGGGAGTCACACTGTTCTTTTTTTTTTTTTTTTTTTCCTTTCTAAGGCCCATCTGCAAGTGTTGAAAAACTTTAATGGGCAGGTGCTGAAGCCCATTAGCAGTTAGTTTTAAATTTCTTGTCCCTCCATGACACTTCTGTTGGAGGTCAAGGGCGTCTGAAGACTGAAGTAAAGATCAGTAGCCCTCGTGCCTTAGGGTGAGTGTCTGCCGTCTCGCTGGTAGGCTTACTTTGTTAGCGACCGCTGTTGAGATCCAAAGTGGCTGTGGTGGAAGTTAGTCTTGAAGACGTTAAGGGAATTAAATGTTTCGGCATTGTTTCAGGAAAGTTGCATTGTCTTTCAAACACAGACAACGTTCATAGGATTGTTCTACTTATTTCCTTATTTGTTTCTATTTAAGTAGATATGCGACTTCTGCTTTTCTTCCCCCCCCCTCACTCAGCATGCTCTTTCTGTGCTCTTTGGGCTGTAACTGTATGGATGCCTTTTTGCTCTTTACAAGTAGCGTGGAAATCCCGAAGTGCAGTGTATTCTTTTAAGTGTGCAGCAGTAGTGAGTTTGTACTGAGATGCAGCCTAATAACTTATGCGGTTTTGATCTCTAATATGTATTGAATGCAGTATTTTGTGTATTTCAGATGATAAAAAAGATATTGACCATGAAACAGTGGTGGAAGAACAGATCATTGGAGAGAATTCTCCTCCAGATTATTCGGAGTACATGACAGGGAAGAAACTTCCTCCTGGTGGAATACCTGGCATTGACCTCTCAGACCCCAAACAACTGGCTGAATTTGCTAGGTAAGTAGGAAGAAAGGATCTTTAAACTAAGATGGTTTTGTTTTCACTGGTTTAATGATGAAACTGTTAGGCAAAATAAATGGCAGATTTAGTATAGTGCATGTTCCATTTAATCATTTTTTAACAAGGGACTTAATGCAGAACAGAGTAGGTGATGTCATGTTAAAATATCTGGGGTTTATATTCAGCAATGAGTTCTTCAGTTCCTGTTGGGTAAGACAGGACCTAACTACATTGATAGATTGCATCTTTGACGTGACAGAATGGGTGTTTCATTTCATGTGAGTAGTCTTAGATTCTTCATCACCAGAGGATCTAATCAGTGAAATGCTGTTGAGTAGAAGAAAGCTAGACACTACAGTATTTACTTTGTAAAGTCACTTACTGTTCTTTTTCACTTGCTTCTTCCTTCTTAAGCTCTAGGTCTTAAACTTCTTTTTAATGGAGCCCTGTCTTGCACTTTCAAGTGCCAGGGTAATTGCAGTTTCGCACTTGGTAACTATACTGGATTTTCCTCTTGTGAATGAGAATTGGCACTCGTTTACATATCACTGCGGTGACCTGAGTGACAAGGTGACTTTTACTTTCAAAGAGAGATGAAGTGACAGAAGCTGGGAAAGTGTCATGTGTCTCTTCCCCCTCCCTCCCGCAGCAGAGCCCCTGGCTCTGGTATCGAGTGATCAGGGCAGCCGCTGGCCACCGGAGGGCAACCGTGAGGCCACCAGAGAAGTCTGCTATGGACAGCGTTCACTTGGTCCCCTTGTTTGTGTGCGTGGGCTTGTCATTGCCAAAGGTGCACTCCTCCACTCAGTGCACGGGCAGCGTTAGTGCTGGGCTCTCCAGATACCGGAGCACAACCGTTAGCAGCTGCCTTAATCACTTCCTCCCGTGCTGAAAGCAAAACGTGTGTGAAGCTATGCTCATTTTCATTTTGTTACCAGCTGGGTATTCTTCAGAGCTCTGGTACACAATTCTTAGAGCAGTTGGATGGACAGATGTTACTCCTGGGTCAGCTAGCAGAGCAGAAGTATGTTCTTGGTTTTTTACCACTGCTGTTTTTTCAGCTAGTTGCTGGATGGCAGGGACTGTTGAGACAAGCTCTGCTCTGGCTTCTTGGGTAGGTGGATCTTTGTGTCCAGTGTGTGCATCTACTCTAGTTTCACCTTTTTGATCTTTTTGCTTTATACAAGCTTTTCCTGTTACTCTTCACTGCGTTTGTACCGGAGGATTGCCAGAACAGGCTTGTCCCACAATTATTTTCAGTAAAGCTGTTGAACTATGGATTTTGAAGGCTCCTAGTTAAGATAGTTTTTTTGCAGGGCTTGCTCCCTGCTTCAGCCTGTCTGATGTGGAAATGAGTAAGAACACATCACTAACAACTGAAAACTGAGTTTTATCTAAAGTGGTGGGTAGTTCTGGCTATCGATATTGTTGATACTTTTTTTTTTTACTACTCTTGATCAAAATGATTGTGTTTTCCCCCAAGACCTGCTGAAAGGTTAATGCAATTTTTTTTATGAAAGCAAACATTTAAGTGATACTCTGGAATGCACATTGCATTCTAGTTTTAAAATGTTACTTACACATTTTGCTTGTTAGGTGCTTGGATTGGTATTCTCAGTTATTTCAAAACATGCTGAAACCTTTGATTCTATTGAACATTTAAGTAATGAATAGGTATCTTTTGTTAGGAATTTTAAATGACTTCTCATAGGGTATTCTCCATGCGAATATTGAGTATTTTTCTTCAGATTGGTTTGAATACTTGAAATGGTTGCCAGGGTTTGGGCTTCTTGAAATGACCAGATTGCTTCCATCAGATGTGTGTGTGTATTTCCTGATACTGTAAAATGCACTTCATCTTTGGGTTTTCTGTTGAGAAAATAGTGGCAGCTGGCAGTAATTTTAAATTACCACTTTTTTAATTCATGGCAGAATGTTCTGGGAAGGTCTAGAGCTAGAATTGGCAGCAGATGATGGAAAGATTGATTTCTATATCTAAAGTCTCTTTTCTGTTAATACATACCTGTACAAGCAATAAAATGTAATCCATTTCAGTCATAAGACAAATACATGATGGTAGAGGAAACAACTTGGGGGTATCACTAAAGGTGATTTACCCCCAAGTTTCTCAAAACCTGTGAAGAATTTTCTCATAGCTTAATTGTAGATCCATGAGAACTTCAAGTATCTTCTCTTTCTAGAAAGGTGTTGCGATTTCTTGGGCAGAATAGATGGTGGTTAAACTTTTACTCTTGCCTTAAAAAAGAAAGAGAAAACTGTTAGTTACTCAGTCATTTAAGATCCAGTGTGCATAGCTGAGGCTGAAGAATATGGGTGTATTAGAATTTGAATATTGCTTGCTAAGATCTTGGTCCGCTTGCAGTCAAGTCTGTTGAAGGGTCTCCTTTCAGGTAATAATATGAATTCAAGGATTCCTGTCTACAAGCCTGTTTTTATACTGATCAATTGTCCTGTTGATCTAGTTTGCTCTGTGCAGTATCACTAGAAACCTTGCATGGCAACTGGAACCAAAAAACTGGGTTTACATGTACTGGAGTTGGTTTTGAGGATCCTAGGAATACAGTTGTTCATGCTAAAAGAATCTGTTTGCTTGGTGTAAAATTCTCTGAAAGTTTCAATCAGTTTGTCACTTCTCTGTAGCTGTATTCTGAAAACTTTGAGCAGCTGGTGAAGTTGAAACTTACTTTTAAACTTCCTACGTAGCTTCATGTGCTGTGAGCAGGGTTTTGAAAAACAAATTTATATTTTGATAACTTGGAAAAAAAACTGTGCACAGTCCACCTACAGGGAAGCCTGAACTGGCTATGGAGTTGTATGCTAAGTGTATTTTGTGCAGTTGAGAGCAACTTATTTTGAGCTGCTTTCCTGTTTTCGTTATGGTAGTTGGAGGAATCTCACTATACCTTTGTAGAAACTAGCTATTCAGAACCAGGCTAGATGCACTGTTTATAACCAGCGTTATTTTGATGAAGGATAAATTGACTGAGATATTTGCATCGATTCTTAGGAACGAAGTTTTGAGGTTAAATTTAAGCAGGCAAAGCTTGAATTCTATTGGTAACAGATTTCAGGCAAGGTTCTGGAGTTCTGAGCGTGGTCTGGTTAGTGAGAGGTAAGGCAGGGGGTAGGGCTGGTGCCTGAAGTCCTCTGTAGCTCTGCAGCTTTAAAAAAAATAAAATTTAAAACTGTAGTGATTCAGCCTGTGTCGTGGACAGGAGTGCTGCTCAGCTGCTAGGTGGCACTAGCAGAGCGAGCAGTTCTGCTGTCTCTTGTCATACCATTGTCTTTCACTGCTTTTTTTAGTGCATTTGTTATTGAGTCATGGAGCAGGAATCCGGATCCTTTAACTGGAACTCTTACAGTTATTCCTGGAAAGGCTTTTATACATTGTAAAACTATTGAAAACGCTGTGAATAAACAAGCTGTGTCAGAACATTAAAACATGGTCAGTAATGCTTAGACGAATGGCCATAAACTATACCTGGTTGGGCAGTTTATTGCCTTTTACAAATGGTTTCGTTCTGTCATAGGACTTGTGCATTTTCTCTAGTACCCTTTAGAAATGCAGTGAAACAGAAAAAATGGATTTCTTTTAGGCAGTCATATCAATGTGGAATGTTAGTTGTGAATGATCTGCTCAGAAGGAAATAAAACCTAATAAACCTAACCACATTCCCATTTGATACTGTTGACTAGAAACCCCTTCAAGTGAAATAAAATGTTTAATCCAAGTCTAAATTGATTACAAGTAATTCTGTAGTTAGCTGTGAAGAAGTCATAACTGCTTGGTAATCAAAGCTTGGGTAAGTAGCCGATGTATTTCTGGTTGTAGCATATGGCAAATTCCCTCAAACGAAGCTATAAAAAAGGATATCCCTGATTGCCTTCTTCCTTCCTCTTGCCCTCCAGACAGATGCACGGCTGAACTGGCTAAAGGCAGCAGAATACAGATATCAGTAAAACCTAAGAAATATGCTATAGATGGGAAATTTGCACAGTAATGGGCCCTAGTTGTTAAAACTTTTCTGCTCCTCAGAGTACCTTTTCGGAAGGAGAACCATCATGAAGACTGCTCTTCCTTCCTATCCACTTTCCAAAACTGACAGAAAACAAAGGAGAGGAAAACTGCATTGGAGTTTGAAATTGGACACCCTTCTTAAAAGCGACAAAGCATTCTGGTCACCTAGATTTAGGACCTAGGCCTCTTTATAAGGTGTACATATGCTTTTGTAATGGTTTGGCTCTTGTTACAGAGAAGCTTAAAGGGCAGTAAACTGGCAATTGTTTTACTCAAAGTGGTGTTCTGGGGAAGGGGAGATGAGATCTCTTGCTCTGTACCACACTGCAAAGGTCGCTGTCTGTTTACACATAGGATATTCTTCATAACTGGAACAAAACTAGTAATTATTTTTGCCAGAATCTTGGAGTAAAAGAGGACTTCTATGGTATTTTCTTACCTAACTATGATCAAAGCATGGTAAAGACACTGCTGTGGGCTCATTTGTAGGTAGATTCCCAGGAGACCTTGTGCCGCTCCTTTTTTGTCTATTTATCCAAAAGCTAGTCTAGCCAGTTTTGGTTCTTCAGCACAAAGGAATTCCTGTAGTAGCGTAGGGCCATGACTCTTAACGTTACTTCTGTCTCAGCAGGGCAGCACAAGAGGAATGGCAGAATGAGTAACAGATAGAAATGGTACTGACACTACGGATAGAGAACAATTTCCTCCTCTTCTAACTATTCTTAGGGATGTGTTCATCAGCCCTGGTGAATATCACTACTGGTAATCACAGACCTCTAGGGTTTGTCAAGGGGGCTGCCTGAGAGAGTTAATGCCATTTAGGTTAGAGCTGTGTATAGAGGGAGAAGAAAGGATGTAAGAACAAGTTTAACAGATGCAAAAAGGGGATGACAGAACAAGGGGGAAATTCTATACTGTTCATTGTTTTTTGATGTGGGGATTTCCTGTTCCTAGCCTTAACACTGCTTCTGTGGCTGATTTTTAGAATTAGATCTGTCTACCAGAGAATAGGTTGTGGAGATTGACAGAGGTTTGGGGGTTGGTTCTGTCAAGGTACAGTTCTTTTAGTTCAGTTGGGTAGATGAAAGGAGGTAGTTAGCTGTTACTTTCTGATACTGCACAGTGACAGAGCTGCTTTCTTTGTTTTGAGGAACTGAGTGGTTTAATATGTGTGACTTCGCTCAGTCGTCTTTATGCATGGACAAGAGTGTGCTTTTACAGAGCTGGTTCTGTGAAGCTGTTGGGTGGTGCACCTTCCAGCTCCCTCTGCTGTTGGCTGTTCCCTCTCCCCACCCTCCTGATAACAACTTCACAGACTTAGCCTTTAATTGCAATGTCCCAGTGCCTTGGTCCAGAAGATACACTTGCTGTTTTTTTCCAGTTAGCTGGTCTGCTGTTGCTACTGCGGGGCATGGCCCATATAAACTCGCTGCAGAAATGCAAATTCTGGTCTTGCCGTGTAAATTGACTTTCTGCAAAGGCAGCTGTTTCAAAAGTTCCACCGAGGTATTGCTGTGTGTGTGGTTGTTTAAAACAGTGGTATGTGTTAGAGTTCTGGTTTTGATTAATGTTTCAGACTAAGAAAACATGGATGGAGCTGGTAGAGATGCTCTACTGGGTGATAGCCAAAAGTCTGACCACCAGCAAGAGCTACCTGCAACAGTGTAATGAAGACCAGCAGCTCAGGTTCTGGTCTGATCTCTCCTTTTGCAGAAAGTTAGTTTTAAAGTAAAACCAAAATCTTTTCTCTAATACATTTGAATATGTAGTCTTTAAATTCTTCTTTGAGTGATTGTCCATATGGATTACACAGCCTTGTGAGCAAGGTGATGCTTTTGACAAACTGATCTGTCATAGCTGTCCATGGTGTACGTGCCCTCGTGCCTTTAATTCAAGTGTATGAAGGGCCCAACAGCTTCTTGCTGCCTCTGACACTGAGATACACAGCCTGGATGCTCTTTACCTCCTTTCCTGTTAAAGAGTCTGTGTCTGTGTGCTTGTATAGCTTGGTTGTCTGGAACCCTATGCTTATGCAGTCATGTTCCACATTTTCAGCTGAAGTTGCCCACTTGCCATACTGCCAGGAGAAATAAAAAGATGTAAATGTCCACCTTGATTAACTGAACTTTGTCATTTTGTAGTTGGTAGTGCCTAAATATTTTTATGTTTGAGTATACTGCTGGGCTGGTACTTCTCACTTTAGAAACAGAGCTTGAACATGAAAAATTCAGCTTATTCCAGTATGGACACTCACAGTGTTACGTGCCTGCTCAGACACTGAACTGAAAAATGTAAGGTTTATGCTGAAGCTCCAGTCTGTCCCATGTCTGGCCGTCCGGTTCTGCTGCCATTTGTTCCTCAAGCTTCCTGGCTTCATTTTACTTCTTCCCTCTCACTCTTCTTCAGCAGCCTGTTACAGATGACGCTGTTGAAGCATTTCTTTCTCAAAGATTCACGTAGTACCAGAGGCAAGATGTGAGTAATGAATAGGATTTAAGTGTAAAGAATGCAGGCACTGCCCACTGAAGTTGTTTACCGCATCTCTTGTTAGCGATTTCTTTTCTGTCTAGTCTCTCTTTACAGGTGGTCAGTTAAGAAACACAGTGGTTTTGTGCATTCTGATGATGTCAAGGACACAAATCTTGGGCCTAGCAGTCTTTTGCTTTGTTTTTTTGGGAGGCTGGAGGAATGATTCAGCCAACATTTGATAGAAGTGAAGGAGGTGTTTTTTGGCACCAGCTTTGTCCCCTAAGGGTGTTTGTTCTCTGGTGGCATTAAACTGTGGCACTATGTTCTATCGTGTCCCATGTTGTCAGAGCATTCTTCTATGTGTCCGTTTTGGAGTAACAGATGGTCATTGTTGTGCCTTTTCCTTCTGTAAAAATCAGACATAACAAGGAGAATCTTACGCAACAGGTAATTGAAATTGTTCTGTAGTGGTGCTGTAAGAAAGCTGTTGTGTGCACGTGTTTTCCTATAGCCTCAGCACCAGTAGTACTGGCAGTCTAGAACCTCACTGGAGAGTGTAGTCAGTCAGTTAATCCAAATCACTTGTTTGGATTGAGGCATTTAATGTTTTCCTCAGTGAGGCTGCATAAACTAAACACAGCACAATCATTCTGTATTCCAATTCAATTATAAAAATTAAATTGGATGGTATAAATTAAATCTAATCAAAAAGATCATCTAAGTTGGTCTGTAATCGTGGAAAAAGAAAACTTACCAGGAGAATTAATTTAATGGAGAGGCTGATCTACAGGAACAGTTTCTTGTGTTCAGGGTAGTTCTGCCCTTAAATTGATGGAATGTTTAGGTGCACTGCTGGCACTGGTGCAGGAGGAGCTTTGCCAACACAAATACCTCACACCCAACTTCTGAGAGCCGTTAGTGTCTGTAAATGAGAGGATTGTCGGATACGATATTCTCCAGCTTTCATATTTCTGTCATGTCTGTATTTTTAACCCTGCAGGAGTCTGCAGTGTTCTTCAGCTGGCGCTGTACATATTCAATGTAGCCTGGAGATGCTGAGCCAGCAGGATTTTCCTAAGCCTTCACTTAGAGGCTGCCTTTTCTTCTTCTCTCCAAATCATTGGGTTTCACTCTTGTGCCTGTGAAGTGGCTGTAAAGTACTTTAGTCCCTGCGTGATCACTTGAACTGTGCTATATCTGCAGTACTGAGAGGAGCCAGGTTGTTTGAGGGACAGATGATAGGCCACAGAGCCATAGGAGGCTTTCCCATCACATACGGCTATTCCCTGGATCCAGTCTTCAGGACTTCTCAGGGTGGTTTTTCACTGTTCTTTCCTGAATTCAGCCTCACAAGGCTTTCCACAGCTGTTCTCTTATTTGTGCGCATGAAGGAGGCAGCTGAAACAGCGGATTTTGGCCATACACAAAGGAATGTGACAGTACCAAAGCAGCCTGGACCCTGCCTGCAAAGAAACAAATTATTATGTCATTGAATTGGAGGGATA